TTTTGCCTCCATAGATAAAGTTTTTTTTGTCTCCCCTTTCTTAAAAGGCCACTCTCCTTTTTTCCCCCATCAATTCTATGATTAACTCATCCTTCATAAATCCCTCCCCGAACACAACCCCTAGTATTGAAAAAATTCACTTTTTCCATCTCCCCCTCCCCCCATTTTATATTCTTTTTTCTTTATCAAATAATTTGATACCCCCCATCCCCTTTTTCTTTTCTATTTATTTTATATGTTCACTTCAACTCTCTCCTTTTTTTACTCACTCCCAACCGTCCACTAACCTTTGCAATTTTTCTTTAGAATCTCCCATAAGCCCAGTATCATCAGCAAAAAGCAACTGTCAAATCTCATTTTATATTTGATTCCCCATAATTTAATCCCACCCCTCTCCCGAACACCCTAGCATTTACTTCTTTTACAACCCCATCTATAAATACATATATACATGTATATGTATATTAAATAACCATGGTGACATTACACATCCCTGTCTAAGACCTACTTTTACCGGGAAGTAGTCTCCCTCTCTTCTACACACCCTAACCTGAGCCTCACTGTCCTCATGAAAACTCTTTACAGCATTTAGTAACTTACCACCTATTCCATATACAGTGGACCCCCGCATAACGATCACCTCCGAATGCGACCAATTATGTAAGTGCGTTTGTACGTGTATGTTTGGGGGTCTGAAATGGACTAATCTACTTCACAATATTCCTTATGGGAATATATTCGGTCAGTACTGGCACCTGAACATACTTCTGGAGTGAAAAAATATCGTTAACCGGGGGTCCACTGTACTTGCAACATCTGCCACATTGCTCCCCTATCCACTCTATCATATGTCTATTCTAAATCCAAAAATGCAATAAAAACTTTCCTATCTTTATCTAAATACTGTTCACATATATGTTTCAATGTAAACACTTGATCTACACATCCCCTACCCACTCTGAAACCTTCCTCATCCGCAATCCTACATTCTGTCTTACCTCTAATTCTTTCAGTAATAACCCTACCATACACTTTCCCTGGTATACTCAGTAAACATATTCCTCTATAATTTTTACAATCTCTTGTTCCCCTTCCCTTTATATAAAGGGACTATACATGCTCTCTGCCAATCCCTAGGTACCGTCCCCTCTTTCATACATTTATTAACCCTTTGACTGTTTCCGACGTATAAATACGTCTTACGAGCCAATGTTTCTGACGTATTTATACGCATAAATTCTAGCAGCTTCAAATCAAGCAGGAGAAAGCTGGTAGGCCCACATGTGAGAGAATGGGTCTCCATGGTCAGTGTGCACCATATAAAAAAAATCGGGGAGCCAGTGGTGCATTGTGGGAATGCCATTTCAGTTGTCATTTTTCAGCATGTCTAGCAGTAAGAAATATGTGATTCCCCAGCAAATCTGGGACTCTTCTCTTCCCAAGTGATGCTCTAACACAGATGGAAGTGTCAGTGAAGATCAATTTCATGATTTGGAGGAGTTTGAGACCAAAAGCAATGGAGGAGGAGGAGGAGGGGGAGGAGGGGAGGAAGAGGAGGAGGAGGAGGAGGAGGAGGAGGGAAGGAAGAGGAGGAGGAGGAGGAGGAGGAGAAGAGGAGGAGGAGGAGGAGGAAGAAGAAGATGTAATAATATTGTTCCCTTGAAGCAAGAAAAAAAAAAGTCCACCCCATGACAGTGACAAGATAAGGGGAATAACATCTGATAAGAGCTGACTTTGATGAGGGTAAAGGAGGGTAATATTACATGACCATTGCCCTCCCTTTGTTTTTGCTGGTACACAAACATTTCTGTCTGTCTATTTGTCTGTCTGTCAAGCTCCCTGTCTGTCCATCTAGCTCTCTGTCTCAGAGAGAGCCACAGACTGTGTCATCACGTTTACTCACATCTTCAAGCAGAGTATAGCACTTTGTCTGGATTTCTTGGGTTATCCTAGGTAATTTACACTATGTATACTTGTATTTATGTGTACCTGTGAGACAGAGATAGGCAGACAGATAGAAAGAGAGACAGATTGAAAGATATAAAATGAGGGAGAAAGATAATTAGATAGAATGGAGGAGGGGAAGCAGCATCCGACCCCATTGTTTTGACAGGCGGTAGGGTAGTGACTAATGACACAATATGTCACTTTGACAGCTGCCGACTCCTGACTCAAAACAATTATAAGCCACACACTCGCACACAAGGAGGAGGAAGAAGAAGAAGAGGAGGAAGAAGAAGAAGAGGAGGAAGAAGAAGAGGAGGAGGAAGAAGAAGAAGAGGAGGAAGAGGAGAGGAGGAAGAGGAGGAGGAAGAGGAGGAAGAGGAGGAGGAGGAAGAGGAGGAGGAAGAGGAGGAGGAAGAGGAGGAGGAAGAGGAAGAGGAAGAGGAAGAAGAAGAAGAATTGTTTGTTTGTTTTTGTAAACAAGTTTTGTAAACAATATATTGATAATTATGTTTGTGTGCTTGTTGTGTTGTATACAACGAGTGTATATATATACATTGCACCTTACTTTGGTCTCATAGGCCACATAAGTTATGTGAAAAAATAAAATAGTGAAAAAAACAAAAAACCTTCAATTACAAGTAAACTAAAGTTTACCGGGTGAGCGGCAGTCGCCGCTGTTGCCATACGCGGCTCATTTTCTGCAAACTTCATGGCTCTATATCTCGGTAAGTACCGATGGCAAAAAATTTTTTTTTGGACTAAAACACTCAGAAAAATAATCTTAACATTTTCATAAGAAAAAATAATTTTTTTTTTTTTTTTAATATTTGGCGACATAGAATGACAGTTTCAGAGAGGGACCTGAAACAGTCAAAGGGTTAAACAAAAGTACCAACCACTGCAACACTATATCCCCCCCTGCTTTTAACATTTCTGTCATGATCCCATCAGTTCCAGCTGCTTTACCCCCTTTCATTCTACGTAATGCCTCACGCACCTCCCCCACACTCACATCCTGGTTCTTCATTCCTAAAAGATGGTATACCTCCCTGGCCAGTGCATGAAATTACAGCCTTCCTTTCTTCGTCGACATTTAAAAGTTCCTCAAAATATTCTCGCCATCTATCCAAAACCTCCTTCTCCCCATCTACTAACTCCCCTACTCTGTTTTTAACTGACAAATCCATTTGTTCCCTAGGCTTTCTTAACGTGTTTAACTCACTCCAAAAAATTTTCTTATTTTCATTAAATTTCTTGACAGTGCCTCTCCCACTATCATCTGCTCTCCTTTTGCACTCTCCACTCTCTTCACCTTTCTTTTACTCTTCATATGCTCTACTCTTCTTATAACACTTCTGCTTTGTAAAAAACCTCTCATAAGCTAACTTTTTCTCTTGTATCACACCCTTCATCATTCCACCAATCACTCCTCTTTCCTCCTGCACCCACCCTCCTATAACCACAAACTTCAGTCCCACATTCTAATACTGCATTTGAAAACTATTCCAACCCTCTTCAACCCCCTTCACTACTCATACTTGCACCAGTCCACCTTTCTGCCAATAGTTGCTTATATCTCACTCGAACTTTCTCCTCTCTTAGTTTATACACTTTCACCTCCCTCTTACTTGTTGTTGCCATTTTCCTCTTTTCGAAAATCTCTCTCTCTCCTCTACACTTCTCTGTTCTCCAGGTGCATATATGCTTACTATAACCCACTTTTCACATCCAACCTTTATTTTACTCCATATAATCCTTGAATTAATACATTTATAATCTCTCTTTTCCTGCCATAACTTATCCTTCAACATTATTGCAACTCCTTTTTTTAGCTCTAACTCTATTTGAAACCCCTGACCTAGTCCTATTTATTCCTCTCCACTGAAACTCTCCTACCCCCTTCAGCTTTCTTTCACTTAAAGCCAGGACATCGAGCTTCTTCTCATTCATAACACACACACACGCCCACACACACACACACACACACACACACACACACACACACACACACACACACACACACACACACACACACACACACACACACACACACACACACACACACAGACTGGACACCTGGTCCAGCAAATGGCTTCTCGAATTTAATCCTGCCAAATGCAAAGTCATGAAGATAGGGGAAGGGCACAGAAGACCACAGACAGAGTATAGGCTAGGTAGCCAAAGATTGCAAACCTCACTCAAGGAGAAAGATCTTGGGGTGAGTATAACACCGAGCATGTCTCCGGAAGCACACATCAATCAGATAACTGCTGTAGCATATGGGCGCCTGGCAAACCTGAGAACAGCATTCCGATACCTTAGTAAGGAATCGTTCAAGACACTGTACACCGTGTATGTCAGGCCCATACTGAAGTATGCAGCACCTGTTTGGAACCCGCACTTAATAAAGCACGTCAAGAAACTAGAGAAAGTACAAAGGTTTGCGACAAGGTTAGTTCCAGAGCTAAGGGGAATGTCCTATGAAGAAAGATTAAGGGAATCGGCCTGACGACACTGGAGGACAGGAGGGTCGGGGGGAGACATGATAACGACATATAAAATACTGCGTGGAATAGACAAGGTGGACAAAGACAGGATGTCCAGGGAGGGGACACAGAAACAAGAGGCCACAATTGGAAGTTGAAGACACAAATGAGTCAGAGAGATATTAGGAAGTATTTCTTCAGTCATAGAGTTGTAAGGCAGTGGAATAGCCTAGAAAATGACGTAGTGGAGGCAGGAACCATACACAGTTTTAAGACGAGGTTTGATAAAGCTCATGGAGCGGGGAGAGAGAGGGCCCAGTAGCAACCGGTGAAGAGGTGGGGCCAGGAGCTAAGACTCGACCCCTGCAACCACAAATAGGTGAGTACACACACACACACACACACACACCCCTGACCTAATCCCATTTATTCCTCTCCATTGAAACTCCCCCACCTCCTCCCACTGAGGCAGTTATATTTATAAGAATATCAAGTGGGTGACTGAGTTACAAAATTAATTTTCACGAAGATGTTATCAGTTTATTACAATAGCTTTTTATTTTGCAGCTTAAGACGAGCTCGTTTGACATGTGATGAAACAGCTCAGCAGCTCAAGTCACCTTTACCTGTAGATAAGAAAAAGATTGCCAGACCCTCAAGTGCTGGTAACATAACAGGAAATCGCAAGATTCCTGTGAGCCAGAGCAAAAGTCATCAGGTAGGACAGACACCTCGAGGTGGTTCTCACTCACAGGCAACAACTCCTAAGAGTGGCTCCAGTGATTTCAGTAGAGGAGATGGTGGAAGGTTTAGTTTACGATTACCTCATTCTGGATCTTCAACAGTGAGTGCTAAAAAATTTTATTTAATTACCATTTTTATGGAATATTTTATTTTAAAACTCAGGAATGGAAAAGATTCATATGCATGAGAAAGCAGTTCTAAAACTTGTACACCAGTGTTTTAACCACTAGACTGTGCAGGCATAATAGGGTTCATTCAACTGTATATTTCTGTACACTAAAGAGGTTTAATATTTGAATCCTTATGGGTAATCAGGTATTGCTCTCCCAGTTTTCCCATTTGCAGGAACCAAAATTGTGCTCCACTGTTTTCCATCGCATCTTAGGCTATATAAGAACATAAGAAAGAAGGAACACTGCAGCAGGCCTACTGACCCATGCGAGGCAGGTCCAAGTCACCTCCCAGCTTAAACCAGTGACCTACCTAGTCAGGTCAGGTCACATCCATTTATGGAAGGGGCACGTCATCAGACCTACTAGCACAAGCCAGTCAGGTCCAACTCACACTTACCCACAGGCACTCATGTATTTATCTAACTTATTTTTAAAACTACACAACTTCTTAGCTTCTATGATGGTACTCGGCAGTTTGTTCCACTCATTCACAACTCTAATTACATTCATTGGATCCTTTTCCCGATGGGACTTTTCATGAAAGTGTACCGTGGTATACCACATTCTTGGGTCTTTGTCCATTGTTCACTGCATTACACTGCAGCCTGCATCTACTTGGAAAAGTGGTATGCAGTCTGCTCTTTATATCTTTCTCCTTCTTGGCCATCTCTGATTTCTTCCCTACCTCCTCTTCTCTTATTAGGGGATTTTAATTCTTATCATTTCCTCTGGGGAGGGTCTCACTGTGACTCTTGGTGATCAATTAGAGGCTCTTCTCATTTCTCTTACCCTCCGTGTTTTAAATATGGGTACTCTCACTCATTTCGACCTTCACACTCAAACACACTTGCATAGATCTCTCAATTTGCTATTTCTCAAATGCACTCGACTTTATCTGATCAGTGCTCCCTGATTTAAATGACAGCAATCGTTTTCCCATCTTACTTCTCATGCATATTCTCGACTTCTTCATAGCCTATGTTGACAGTTTGAACAGGTGAATTAGGCCATTTACTTGCGTCATACTGTTTTTAGTGAAGAACCTTTTCCTTTATCCTCAACTGCTGAGCTGTTACAACTATTTTTTGTCCTTGGTTTTAACCACAGCCTCAAATACAGTCCCTCAAACCTCTGGTAGTCACCCCTCAGAAAATATGTGCTTTGGTGGTCTCGTATCTCTGCTCATGCAGTGTGTTTGAAATGTGCTGCATGGAGTTGATACCATTATAATAGGACCACAGAGTAACTTGTTGATTTTTAAGTGGGTGAGGGCGGTCGCCCAATGTGCCATCTGAGAAGCTAAGTGCACTTGTTGGCAGATTATGTTTCTACTGTCACTTCAACTTCCTCTAAGAGTGCAGTTTGGAAAAAAGTACAGAAATTGAGTGGCAGATACTCTCCAGAGCCAGCTCTGGTTCTTAGGGTTGCCAGTGTCATCATAGCAAGCCCTCTTGAAGTTGCCACAGAAATTAGAAATCATGTTGTCCATATCTCTCAGGAGCTCCATTTATGCCCCTCATTTCTTTCTTCCAAGTCTGCCAGAGAGTTACTACCTTTAGATTTTTCTTTTAGCGAGAGGAGTCTCATAAAGAACCTTTTTTGTTTTAGAAGTAGAGTCAGCATTTTCCTCTTGCTGATCGTCAGCAGCTGGTGTGATATCATTCATATTCGCATGCTTTGTCATTTACATCTGTCAGTCCTCGCAGTTCTCTTACATCTTTTTAATCTTATTTGGTCGCAAGAGGTTCTTCCCTAGGGTGTGGGAAATGCCATTGTTCTGCTTTTTCATAAAACCAGGTACTTCGGGCCATGATGCCTTACACTATCGTTTCCATTGATCTTACCAGTGAAGATTGCAAGTTGATGGAACGTCTAGTAAATAGACATTTGGTGTGGTATTTAGAGAGAGAGGAGTAGTCTTTCCACTCATCAGTTTGGCTTTTGTAAAGGCTGATCTATATTGACCCTTACTTCATTTGGATACTTATGTTCATAATGCCTTTGCTGGTATCACTCAGTTATTGCAGTCTTTTTTTTATCTTGAAAAAGCATGTAACACTACTTGGAGATATAACATCTTGGCCCAAGCTCATTGCTTAGGCCTCCAAGGCAATCTGCCATTTTTCTTTAAAAACTTCTTGTCTGAGAGACATTTCCCTGGAATTTCTCCAATCTGAAGGTATCCCACAGGGATGTGTCCTTAGCACCACTTTTTTACTTGCTATAAATGATCTAGCCTCTGTTCTCCCATCTAATATTAATAATAATAATAATAATAATAATATATTTCTCAAGGTAGTACAGTGGACCCTCGGGTAACGATGCCATTGGATAGCAATAAAATTGAATATTGGTACGTCTTTGCGTAAAAATATTGGCTCGGCTAATGATGAAACTTCAGTTAAGGACATTTGTCCCGAATGTGTCCGCACACCTGGGCCGCCCGTGGCTGCCCAGCCACTCTGTACAGGCAATGTGCCATTGTTTACAAGCCAGTGCAGACGGTTCCACGCATGCATGTGATACATTTTGTATTATTCCATTGTTTTTAGTGCTTGTAACCACTAAATAAGCCACCATGGGCCCAAAGAAAGCCCTGTGGTAAAGAGGGTAAGAAATACTATTGAACTGAAGAAAGAGATCATCGCAAAATACGAAAGTAGAGTGTGTGTCTCCGAGTTGGCCAGGTTATATAACAAACCCCATTCAGCCATCGCTACTATCTTGGCCAAGGAAAAGGCAATCAAGGAAGCTATTGTTGCAAATGGTGCAAATATGCTTACAAAACAGAGGTCGCTGCACCACCGTCAGCTGCTGCTGCACCACCGTCAGCTGTTGCTGTACCATGGTCAGCTGCTGCTGCAACCACCATCAGCTGCTGCTGAACCACGGTCAGCTGCTGCTGTACCATGGTCAGCTGCTACTGCTTCTGCACCACCGTCAGCTATTGCTGCACCACGCCAGCTGCTGCTGCGCCACTGTCCGCTGCTGCTGCACCACTGTCAGCTGCTGTTGCACACCACCGTCAGCTGTTACTACTCGAAGATGTGGAAAGACTGTTGTTGGTGTGTCTTAACGAGAAACAATTACCAAGAAACAATTAACCCCAGAGCGTTAGCCACCCAGAATAAACCCAAGAAAAGTCAGTGTGTCATCAAGGACTGTCTAACTTATTTCCATTGGGGTCCTTAATCTTGTCCCCTAGGATGCGACCCACACCAGTCGACTAACACCCAGGTGAACAGGAAAAAATGCCTGGAACTAGTGCTCATATTGGTGAATATAAGGCCAGCAAAGGTTGGTTTGAGAGATTTAAGAATTGTAGTGGCATACACAGTGTGATAAGGCATGGCGAAGCTGAAAAATTACAACCCCAACAAGTGTTCAATTGTGACGAAACAGCCCTGTTCTGGAAGAAAATGCCAAACAAGACCTACATTACTCAGGAGGAAAAGGCACTCCCAGGACACAAGCCTATGAAAGACAGGCTAACTCATGTTTTGCTGTAATGCTAGTGGGGATTGCAAAGTGAAGTCTTTACTCATGTATCACTGAAAATCCCAGAGTGTTCAAGAAAAACAGTGTCTCATCACTCATCAGTACTCTTCAGTAAAGGTAAGTGTCATTTTAGTATTTATTTATGTAATTATTCTGCATGTCTCATTGTTTTCTGTGTAGGGAAATGCATATTTCATGTAAAATACTCCATTCTACTGAATGCACAGCAACACAGTAAATGACCATATGACCTGTCTTTGAAATACTCATTTGTGCTTAATTGTTATTTGTTTACAATAATGTTTACCACTGAATATATCATTGCTTAGTTAATCTTAAGTTAATTTTTAAGCCTGCCCATAATGCTCTGCATACAAGGGGCTTTGGCATGTTACACTTAACCACTGTATCTCTTTGTACTTCTATGTATCATGTTCAAATTAATAAATAAATAAATAAAATTATTTTTTTTAATACTTTTGAGTGTCTGGAACGGATTAATTGGATTTCTATTATTTCTTATGGGGAAAATTAATTTGGGCTAACGATAAAATCGGTTTAATGGCAAGCTCTTTGGAACAGACTAAAATCATTACCCGAGGGTTCACTGTAGATTGGTAGACAACAACCACCCAGGGAGATCCAACTGTCCTGCCAAGTGAGTGTAAAGTGGAAGCTGTAATTGTTTTACATGATGATAGGATTAGGATTGCTTGTGTTTTTTTTTTTCTGTCTCATACACATGCAAGGTTTCAGGTATATCTTGCTACTATTATACAGTAGACCATCATTTAGCACAAGTTTATTTGGCACGATTTGGGTATAGCACGATTGAAGAATTGCAGCACAATTTTATGTAACACGTCATAAAATTAATTTAACACGGTTCAGTTTGCGGGAAGGAAAAAAAAATCCCTTTTCCTCAAGCGGCCCCGCCTTGTTGTGGATCAGCCGGTGAGACCTCCCGTTATCACCTGCCACCCCACAACACCACCCCACCATCCCAGCATTCGTATTTCATATGTATCCAGTCTTTCTCTGCTACAAGCTTGCTGTGTTTGTGAATTGTGTTTTGATCTTTTTAATTACTATATCTTGTATCTGCCAAGCAATCATGACACTCAGTAGGCATACCAGTGTTGCTGAAAGTAGCAAGAAAATGTATAAGCATTTAAGTCTTAGAATTAATGAAGGAAACAAAGATATTAGACAAGAGATAACGGTAATGAAGTGTTACTTAGTACTCATAGAAAGAGGTAAACATGAGTTTGTGTGACTGACTGACTGACTTACTGAATGACTAACTTACTGAATGACTTAATGCCTTGACTGAATGACTTACTGACTTGACTGAATGACTTACTGACCTGACTGAATGACTTACTGACTTGACTGAATGACTTACTGACTAAATGACTTGACTGACTGA